GCTATGAATGCTCCTGCCAGAATTGAAATTCCTTCAGAGAAAAATGAAAAAACTCTTGCAAATGAGTCTTCAATACGCAAAAAGCGTGGCAGACCACTTGGTTCAAAAGATGTAAAACCAAGAAAACTTAAAAGGCAAGAGACAATACTTGAAACAAAAGACGTTCATTCTTCAAAGAAAGAAAATGAACGAACCGAGCATGTTGATATAAAAAATAATATCAACGAACAATTTGTTTCAAATGAGGATTTAACTATCTCTGAAGATGCGAATAATTCAGATGAAGATAGAAACGTTGATAATTATGAGATTTCAATAAATTATGTTTCTACGGGATTACAATGGAACAGAAAAGATGTTCATGTTGATGATATATTCGCATATGCCATTGCCACAAACATCATGGATGAAAATGATGACATTGAGCCAACTTCAGTTGATGAATGTCGACGTAGACGTGATTGGCCAAAATGGAACGAAGCAATTCCGGCAGAATTGAAATCACTTGAAAAATGGAGTGTTTTTGGGCCTATAGTTCCTACGCCAAAAGGCGTGAAACCAATTGGATTCAAATGGGTTTTTGTGCGTAAGCGCAATGAGAAAAATGAAATCGTGAGATATAAAGCCCGACTTGTTGCCCAAGGTTTTTCTCAAATTCCAGGGATAGATTATGAAGAAACTTATTCCCCAGTAGTTGATGCAACTACGTTGAGATTTTTGATTGGCATGTCTGTCTTTGAAAAACTTCAAATGCGTTTAATGGATGTAGTGACAACATATTTATATGGATCTCTCGATACTCACACACACACACACACACACACACACACACACACACACACATATATATATATATATATATATATATGAAAGTTCCTAGAGGCCTAAAATTGCCTGAGGTTTATAGTTCAAAACCTCGAGAGATATTTTCCATAAAATTGGAAAAGTCACTATATGGACTAAAACAATCTGGCAGAATGTTGTATAATCGTCTCAGTGAATATCTGCTCAGAGAAGGATACAAAAATGATCCAATTAGTCCATGTGTTTTCATCCGTAGATCTAAATCAGGCTTTGCCATTATTGCAGTATATGTTGATGATTTAAATATCATTGGAACTTCTGATGAAATAGAAAATACTGCAAAATATCTCATGAAAGAATTTGAGATGAAAGATCTTGGGAGAACAAAATTATGTCTTGGTCTTCAAATTCACCATTTGAAAGACGGAATATTCATCCACCAGTCAAATTACACGAAGAAGGTTCTGAAGCGGTTTTATATGGATAAAGCACATCCTCTCACATCCCCGATGGTTGTCCGCTCTCTCAACGTACATGATGATCCATTCCGACCTCGTGAAGATGATGAAGAAATACTCGATCCAGAAATACCATACTTGAGTGCTATTGGAGCTTTGATGTATTTAGCAAACAACACTCGACCAGATATTACATTCTCAGTGAACTTGTTAGCCAGACACAGCTCGACCCCGACTATGAGGCATTGGAATGGCACTAAACACATTTTGCGATATCTCAATGCTACCATCGACCTTGGTTTATTCTACTGCAAAGATGCCAAGGCCACTCTTGTTGGATATGCTGATGCAAGATATTTGTCTGATCCGCAAAAAGCAAAATCTCAAACAGGATATGTGTTTACTTATGGAGATGCCGCAATATCATGGAGATCGATGAAACAAACTTTGACTGCCACATCATCAAATCACGCGGAGTTGATAGCTCTCTACGAAACAGGTAGAGAATGTGTATGGTTGCGATCAATGATCCAACATATCCAGAGCGAGTGCGGTATAGAAACAATTACTAGTCATCCGACTCCTATATATGAAGACAACACTGCATGCATTGCTCAAGTGAAAGGAGGTTACATCAAAGGAGACCGAACAAAACATATATCACCAA